ATGCCTTCCTAAACCTAAATATTTTGACTCTTTCTACAGGTTCACATTCATCCCTCCCGAAAGGAACACACTCCTCAAAAACTTACAGTTCCAGATCACCTTCCAGAAGATGCACCTGTACAGAGGCACCAGATGCAACTGTTTGCAGTCCTCTGTATAAACACCAGCCATTATATATCTTTTGTCAAATATGGGCCTAACCCACGGTCCTGGATCTTCTTTGACAGCATGGCTGACCGATGTGGTATGTCAAATGTTAAATGTCCAACATATTTACATGTAATTTATATTCAGTATTTATGTCATTTGCACAGGATCACTGAGGTTTCACAAACCTTTTTTAATCCTTCCATTATTGATCCTATAACCATATAAAATGCTGTTTATCACTAAAATGGGTGTTAATCCCTCACTGTCTTATTTTTATCATTAGGTGATGATAACAATGGCTACAACGTTCCTGTGATCAGGTCCTGTCCTGAGGTTGGAGACTTCCTTTCACAGTCTGAAGAGGAGATGTCCACAGCAGATGTGAGTCAGAGCAGTGAGATGGTACGCAGACTGCTGTGTGATTCATACATGTGTCTGTATCAGAGAACAGAGTGAGCAGAGACATCTTTGATATCTTCGGACTACTGTGTCCTTACTATATCTCTTGTCTCATTACATCAACAGAGCTGACACATGAATTACTGTATACTTATGTTTTGCTTAGACATTCTGTTCTTTAGCAAACTGTTCTTCTGTGACTTCTAATGGAAGTGTATTTATATGTAAAAGGACTCCTAGATGTTTCTTAAGACATTTTATCAGGTAGAGATATACATTTATACACAAGCAACAATGTAATTTATTTTGATAGTTTAGTATGTTCAGTATGATTTATTTTGTAGTATATTCAGTATGATTTTTGATTACATGATTTATTGTTTATTTGTATACTGATTAATATATTCTATTTGTATTGAAAATTGTAGGATGCTTATATTAGCATTACAAATTATGCTGCACCAATTTCATTTGTCTGTCTTGATAAATCTTAATTGAATCCATAGTTGATTTCAGAGTTTCTTACTGCTCTTTCACTCTTTTGGTCATATTTGTATGTTATACAATGGTGTTTATGACTACAGTCTACAGAAACAAATTATCTAAAAAAACACTGTTACAGATGAAGTTGAAAATATTAGGAATTAATAAAATGGGGGACTACTATGAGGTAGAAAAAATAAGAGTATTACAGTGGGTTTAAATGTATTGTGAGGCCTGGTTGAAGAGAAGTATGGCGTTGGTGCCCTCTAATGGAAACATCACAGCATTGACTCTTCACTAACGAAGTTTACAAAGACTTGACGTTCTAAACTTTGAGGTCTGATTCTCAAACAATTGTTCTGTTGAATGGGTTCTTTATAGTATATTATATTATATTATTGCAAAATTAATAAATTTTTTTCTGAAACATAAATCAGGAAATATTATTTCACTGATTGGCCATTCACATATGAGTGTAGATATGCACATAGTAATAGTTTTATGTCTAAATAAAAGTAAATAAATAATAAAAATAAATAAATAAACAAAGATCAATGTTCAGACCACAGTAGTTTGTTGTTAGGCCCAGTTATTTAGCAGAATCCTATGGAAGTTCCTTGTCATTGACCTTTAAATTGTAAACTGTGAATCATATTAAGGTTATACATTTTTTATGGCAGTTGTTAAAGACACAACGATCATACATAACACGTGGTTGCAAAACAATTTCCGCCTTTGTACATCTGTTGTCTGGACAGAGATAGGCCTACTGCAGGTTTAAGATAAATGTGGCCATTGAGAAGCAGAGCATTGTACATGTTAGTGAGCACACACACAAAATACCGTTAGGGATTCAACGATAACAAAGGCATTGAAACAAATAGTTCTAATAGTATTGATTTGTTTAAATGACAAGAAACACATGGCAGCACAACTTCTAAACAGGCTAACTCGTCTCAGTGTATGAAAATATCTCTGTAGCTGCAAGTAATCTTGAGGAGGACTGATTTTTTTAAACAAATCAACTATGTTTAAAAGTCTGCCTCCTAATGCCTTTTTGTATTATTCTACTGTATTAAAAGTAAATAATACCTAGCCATGTGACATGAGGCTTTGTAGCTAGTATTTTGTTTATCAAGTCAAATGTTAAAAACGTATTATTATAATTTTTTATTATTATTGATGATGATAATATTAATCTTCATAACTTTTTTCAATAAGCCTCTCTTCAATGGTACCACGTGGCTTTAACCCCATAGTAAATTAGGGGTGACGTCACAGAGCGGAGCTGTGCGGGCACGCGGTGTGGGAGGAGCCAGGGCAGGAATAACGCCTTTTTATCCTTTTAAACGCTTCTGACATGCGCAGTGCTTTGAATTTCGGGCTTGGTCTGTTACACAACTGTGTCTTTCTTAGTGCCTGATGGACCATAAGCTCCAACCAGGCATAATTAAGCAGTATTGCACCACCTGCAACACACAGGTAGTGCACCTAATACTAAAATCTTTTTTATGCACTTTGTATTTCTACATTTCTGTGATACAATGCATTTTCCATGTTTTTTTTTTTTCATCCATATGCCTTCCTAAACCTAAATATTTTGACTCTTTCTACAGGTTCACATTCATCCCTCCCGAAAGGAACACACTCCTCAAAAACTTACAGTTCCAGATCACCTTCCAGAAGATGCACCTGTACAGAGGCACCAGATGCAACTGTTTGCAGTCCTCTGTATAAACACCAGCCATTATATATCTTTTGTCAAATATGGGCCTAACCCACGGTCCTGGATCTTCTTTGACAGCATGGCTGACCGATGTGGTATGTCAAATGTTAAATGTCCAACATATTTACATGTAATTTATATTCAGTATTTATGTCATTTGCACAGGATCACTGAGGTTTCACAAACCTTTTTTAATCCTTCCATTATTGATCCTATAACCATATAAAATGCTGTTTATCACTAAAATGGGTGTTAATCCCTCACTGTCTTATTTTTATCATTAGGTGATGATAACAATGGCTACAACGTTCCTGTGATCAGGTCCTGTCCTGAGGTTGGAGACTTCCTTTCACAGTCTGAAGAGGAGATGTCCACAGCAGATGTGAGTCAGAGCAGTGAGATGGTACGCAGACTGCTGTGTGATTCATACATGTGTCTGTATCAGAGAACAGAGTGAGCAGAGACATCTTTGATATCTTCGGACTACTGTGTCCTTACTATATCTCTTGTCTCATTACATCAACAGAGCTGACACATGAATTACTGTATACTTATGTTTTGCTTAGACATTCTGTTCTTTAGCAAACTGTTCTTCTGTGACTTCTAATGGAAGTGTATTTATATGTAAAAGGACTCCTAGATGTTTCTTAAGACATTTTATCAGGTAGAGATATACATTTATACACAAGCAACAATGTAATTTATTTTGATAGTTTAGTATGTTCAGTATGATTTATTTTGTAGTATATTCAGTATGATTTTTGATTACATGATTTATTGTTTATTTGTATACTGATTAATATATTCTATTTGTATTGAAAATTGTAGGATGCTTATATTAGCATTACAAATTATGCTGCACCAATTTCATTTGTCTGTCTTGATAAATCTTAATTGAATCCATAGTTGATTTCAGAGTTTCTTACTGCTCTTTCACTCTTTTGGTCATATTTGTATGTTATACAATGGTGTTTATGACTACAGTCTACAGAAACAAATTATCTAAAAAAACACTGTTACAGATGAAGTTGAAAATATTAGGAATTAATAAAATGGGGGACTACTATGAGGTAGAAAAAATAAGAGTATTACAGTGGGTTTAAATGTATTGTGAGGCCTGGTTGAAGAGAAGTATGGCGTTGGTGCCCTCTAATGGAAACATCACAGCATTGACTCTTCACTAACGAAGTTTACAAAGACTTGACGTTCTAAACTTTGAGGTCTGATTCTCAAACAATTGTTCTGTTGAATGGGTTCTTTATAGTATATTATATTATATTATTGCAAAATTAATAAATTTTTTTCTGAAACATAAATCAGGAAATATTATTTCACTGATTGGCCATTCACATATGAGTGTAGATATGCACATAGTAATAGTTTTATGTCTAAATAAAAGTAAATAAATAATAAAAATAAATAAATAAACAAAGATCAATGTTCAGACCACAGTAGTTTGTTGTTAGGCCCAGTTATTTAGCAGAATCCTATGGAAGTTCCTTGTCATTGACCTTTAAATTGTAAACTGTGAATCATATTAAGGTTATACATTTTTTATGGCAGTTGTTAAAGACACAACGATCATACATAACACGTGGTTGCAAAACAATTTCCGCCTTTGTACATCTGTTGTCTGGACAGAGATAGGCCTACTGCAGGTTTAAGATAAATGTGGCCATTGAGAAGCAGAGCATTGTACATGTTAGTGAGCACACACACAAAATACCGTTAGGGATTCAACGATAACAAAGGCATTGAAACAAATAGTTCTAATAGTATTGATTTGTTTAAATGACAAGAAACACATGGCAGCACAACTTCTAAACAGGCTAACTCGTCTCAGTGTATGAAAATATCTCTGTAGCTGCAAGTAATCTTGAGGAGGACTGATTTTTTTAAACAAATCAACTATGTTTAAAAGTCTGCCTCCTAATGCCTTTTTGTATTATTCTACTGTATTAAAAGTAAATAATACCTAGCCATGTGACATGAGGCTTTGTAGCTAGTATTTTGTTTATCAAGTCAAATGTTAAAAACGTATTATTATAATTTTTTATTATTATTGATGATGATAATATTAATCTTCATAACTTTTTTCAATAAGCCTCTCTTCAATGGTACCACGTGGCTTTAACCCCATAGTAAATTAGGGGTGACGTCACAGAGCGGAGCTGTGCGGGCACGCGGTGTGGGAGGAGCCAGGGCAGGAATAACGCCTTTTTATCCTTTTAAACGCTTCTGACATGCGCAGTGCTTTGAATTTCGGGCTTGGTCTGTTACACAACTGTGTCTTTCTTCATTCTGCCTACAGCTCCTCGCCGGCATTTTACTTTAACAGGCTTTTAACAGTGTTATTTTAAAAATAAGACCCATAGAAATGAGTGGGGACCATTCCCACAACGATTCCCAGGTAAAGTGTTTGTGATTTAACGTTGTCAGTTATTTATTTTCTTTCTTGAGGGTTTGTAGTCACTAGCTCGGCTGTTTAAATTCCATCCGCAGCGGCAGTCTTCCCCCAGCATGCTAAGCTAACAGGCACTAGAAGTCGGCTTTGAATATAATAATTTCATATTTTCAGCTCTTGCTGTCCATTGACGCTTTTCTTACATTAGCGTGTCCTAACAAATGCGTCATTTTGGGAATTAAAACTTTATATAGTTCCCTGTCCTCCGCAGCGGTGGTATTTAAACGCTGTTTCATGAACAGGCTTGTTAGCTTGAGCGCTAAGCTTCCGACTAGCATCAAGTTGAAAGTTAGCAGCCTATTGACACGGCACGATTTAACATTAACTTATACACCACTGTTTTTCCGCAGATCGACTCGGGATCCAGACATAATGGTGAGTTGGACTTGTCTAATCACCACATTATGATATTGATAATTCAAATTTACGTTTTACACATCTAACGTGATCGCTCAGGAGCTTGCTTGACGACCAGTTAGTTTTAAGGACAGAAATGGCGTCCCAGAGACTAAGTCCCATCTCGCTCACTGACCAGCGCCTATTGTTCAAATTGAGCCCTAAAAAATCGTATTTACGTTGCTTTAAAATCGACGAAAAACGGCGATTTTGAAAGAGAAAGAGATTTTTTTCCAGTTAGTATAGCTTGATCATTTGTAGAGTTAGAAAAACGGTCTAACGAGGCTTGTGAAAGTGAGGGTTTGGGGATTGAGGACTTAGTCTCTGCGCCATTTTCTTTTTCTCTGTCTAGCGGTCTGAGTGTAGTGAACGTTAAGTGCACATCGACGTGTTTATGGAGGCGAAGGATTGAGAAACGTGCGTGACCTGTTCCGGATCCACGCACGAAAATAAACCCTCAACCTCAAAAACACATTTATTCGATGAGATGTGCTGAAAAATGCACGTTTACTCATCAAATCAGTAACTGCATTATCTAGGAATCTGGCATCTTTAAAACTCATCTTTTCTTATGAGCTGTACTGTAATATAATCTGCCTCAGACGAACAATTGCAACAAGACTTAATAAACTTGAATGAGCCTGTGCTGTGGGATTTCATTAGACCTATACCTGATTTCACACAAGTGTCATTGGTGAGATCAGTTTGGTCATGTAGGTTCAAAACATGGTCAACCAAAGGTATTGCAAAATAACATTGCTTTTATAATGACTGTAGTTTTTTTTTTTTAAACCTCCAAAAGATCAATGAGGTTGTTCCCCATTTCCGTACAGTTGGCAAAACTTTTAAGATGCCGTGACAAGCAATCCCAACGCACTAGACACCTGTTTCTTTTTGTTTTATGCAATGCATTATTTAGGTGCCAATTGTAAACAGTTAATTGATTATACATGAACATAAATGTAATGATAATTATAATAATTTATGCATTTAGCAGACGCTTTTATCCAAAGCGACTTACAGTGCATTCAGGTTATACATTTTTTACCAGTATGTAATGTAAACTCCATAAATTATTTTATTAACATTTCTGACACACAAACAGTTAGGTGATAAGATGGGAATATTATACACGACTTTTATAGGGCATCATTGACATTTCTGGCACTTTTTATATTTTAATTTAATATATTTATAGTAATATAATTATTATTAAAGTTATTATTATTTTTTAAACTAAGCAAAACTGCAGCTGACCATAACAGGCAGTGATTGTGCATTTTCATTTTGCTGTAATTTGTTCAAATGAGTCTGTGATTTTTAGACTAAATGATTTGTCGATGTTTTGGGCACTTTTTTTTTTTTGTTTGTTTTTAAACTACAGTAATTATGTAGGTCATCTCATAAATTTGCCTCTTTTTTTTTTTGTTACATTTAAAATCCACAACCTCCTTACTTTGAATGGGCATGATGATTCTGATGGTCATTTTTGCTTCCCTTAATAAGAGCAACTAGGATGCTTAACCCATGACGGTGCTGATGCACAAGCTGCATGTTTACACCATGTCATTCCACTGAACATCCACCAAGTGCTTAACATAAACAAACGTAAACCCATGCTCAGGCCTGGCACATAAAATTAGACAATGTATTTAATAAACAATGACATGATTTGTGTAAAATTGCTTTATATTGCACATTCTGCATGGTCTTCCCATACTTTACCACATTTGAATGGCTAATGTGTATCAGAAATTATGTAATATAAATGTTATCATAATGGCATTTTTTTTTAAATTGGATATGAGGGAATGAGTGTTGGCCTAGCAGTCTTCAAAATTATGCAGAGACTGTGTTTGTGTAAGGTTAGCATGTACTTTGAATATAATTGTGTTTAAAAGTGATTTTAGTACATGAAGCTTTTCTTTAGTGTTTCTTTTGTTTGATTACCTCAGTATTTTCTTTTTAGTCAAAAGGCTTATTTCAGTCATATAGACTCAGGCTTCATTATTTTGGGTTTGCTTTTTGTTATGAAGCTCCAGCATGTAACAGTTCTGCTGACAATGAACTTGTCCACTAGAGGGTACAGTTCACAAATAAGTTCTCCACAGTCCCAGATGTGCATGTGTTTTGCTGAAGGGCAAAATTAAAATGCTGAATGGTTGGCCCATAGTGAGGATTTTTATTTTTGCATTTCTATCTATCTATATCTATATCTATATCTATCTGTCTATCTATCTGTCTATCTATCTATCTATCTGTCTGTCTGTCTGTCTATCTGTCTATCTATC